CTAACTCTTTTTGTTTTTGGTCCTTGTTTGGTCCAGGTGGTTTAGCATTAAATTAACGTATTTATATATTTTCTAAAAGTTTAATTTCAGAGACTAAAGAACTTTTAAAAATGTATAATATTTCAATACACGGAATAAATGTTTTTACTTATGTCTAAAAATTTTGCTTTACAGAAGTTGAGTCCGATAGGTTAAAACGATTTTGGAGCCTCGCCTCGTCGTTACACTTTATCTCGTTCTTTCTCGCGACTGTACATCTTAACAATAATTCTACAGAGTAGTTTCTATTGGAAAAGCTCCATCGTATGGCAGTCATGTCTAAATCAGACCTTTCCTCCCTGCCTGCTTTCCACAAGTTCCATCATCCATTTCAACAGTTCGATTGCATGGAGATCTATAGGCAGTTTGGCTGAAATATTTTTGTATGGAAGAGTATCAATATCTATATTATTCTCCAGCTGCTTTGATGTATGCGACGTTTAAACAAATATGTCGTGGAAGCTACGTGCGTATATGTCTCTTTTCCATGCGGACATCTTTTTTGATTATGTTGTGTACTGTTGTCAGAGATGCATTGACGGGTTTTTTTCATTGACCTTTCTGTTCATGGATTCTCACCTGCTACAGAACACGGCATTTTGCTTACGACTTATTACAGGTCTCTTTCTGGATGGTTATGGTACCCAAATCTATCTATAATCATTGGAGATGGCTGTTTCATTACCACCCCAAAAGCGACCAGCTTTTTTTTTTGGTGACAAAACACTAGCAATAAGATACCAATTAATGTCAAATATAGTTCTGATATATGTCGTTCCACAGCGGCTTTAAATCTGCTGTGATTGTCACGTGATTTGTAGATTTACATATTAAAATATTTTCCATATATAACGTACTCAACCATCTATACATCCATGTATCTTCGTTAACTCTATAACTGTTATCGCAATTATTTACGACATTTATCTTTTTTCATTTTGGAAATGAATAATATTGTATTCCATTTGTTAAATAATTCGTCATTTGCAAGTATTTACAAGCAAAGAAGGGATGAAGTTAGTTTAAATGGTTTGTTAATATATGCAACTCTTGCAGACTTTGCAGACCGTCGTAACTGAGTATTATTTTGTAGTTCAATAACATAATTAAATATTAAGATATTTTCAATATATTTGACCATATCAAATAGTGTCTAATAGCTTTTCATTCGAGGTTCGGTATGTTGTTAACCATAAAGCTACACAATGGGCTATCTGAGTTCTGCTCATCAGGTGTATCGAAACCCAATTTTTAGCAGACTTCCGCTGAGCCATTTTGTTTCTTTGTTATGGATTTCGCGCAAAGCTACACGAGGGCTATCTGCGCTAGCCATCCCTAATTTAGCAGTGTAAGACTAGAGGGAAGTGAGCTAGTCATCACCACCCACCGCCAACTCTTGGGCTACTCTTTTACCAACGAATAGTGGGAATGACCGTACATTATAACCCCCCCCCCCGGCTGAAAGGGCGAGCATGTTTGGTGGGACGGGGATTCGAACCCGTGACCCACAGATTGTAAGTCGAGCGCCCTAACCACCTGGCCATGCTGGGCCCGAGCCATTTTGGGTGCTTTTCATTTGATTAATAACACAGAGAAATGATCTCGTATAATGCGGGCAGAAATAAAACACAGAAATTCAACGTGATTTTCGTAAGAGCATAATTACCTGTTCTTTTACGTACGTTACAGTTTCTCACCTTACGATACAATCATTTAATCAGTTAATAACCAGAAATTGTCCACTGGTTTCAAGTCCCCCATATTACGAAGTTAAGTTTAATCTCTAGAAAGATTTATTTTCAAGTATAAAGAATGTACAAGCATCATTGTACTAATAATGTTTTAAAAGTTACGTGGACCAAAAAGGCACTGATGTTTGTGAATATTAGAAACTAACTGGGCCTATTCTAAATTATAGTAACACTACGCACAAACTCCTTCAAGCATGTACTTACAACTATGATTAACATGGAGATTACTTTTATAATAATGTTTTTTTATATATTTTTTACAGGCACCGTATATAAATATCAAATTAAGCGTTTTAAAGAGTGAAACGGGAATCGATTTAAATTACTTTAGATAACTATACATTAAATGACAAAGAATTGTGTCTCTCTCATTGCATAGAGAGAAAGTTTTAAAATGAATATTTCTTTAGCACCTTATACTTTCAACTACATTTTGATGGACAACTGAATTTCTAACAAAAAGGACGTTCTGTGGTTATTCCTAAAACATTTTTCATGACTCTACAGCAAGCCATGATTTTCAGTGTTTTATCATTTTATCTATTAAAATTATTTATTGACTACGGTCTATACAGAAAGCTGTGTTCTGTGTTTATTTGCTAGAACATGTTTTCATACTTCCAACAGCCCAACAAATCCTTATGCTGATTGGTTTGTTTACTGAATATTTACTGTATATAAAAAGTTGTATGTTCTATGTTTTATTTACTGACTATTAACTGTATAAAAGGTGTGTCTTCTATGATTTATTTACTGACTATTAACTGTATAAAAGGTGTGTCTTCTATGATTTATTTACTGACTATTAACTGTATAAAAGGTGTGTCTTCTATGATTTATTTACTGCCTACTATCAACGCAGAACATTTGCTAGCATATATTTAGTGTATAGTAAGTTGTGTTGTTCAGTGTTTTATGTGCTAGAATGAGTTTATTGACTACTGACTGTACATCATTTTATAGTGTTCTGCTATTTGCCAAAATGTGTTTATTGGCACTAAAGAGCAAACTAAATATTTTTGTTCTTTTAAACAGTGGATAGGGTTTTTGAAATACAGACACATTGTTACTAGAACATTAATATTTTTTTAAAAAAACAATGGATACGGTGTCAATAAAACATTATTGATTTTGTCAAACAATCTATGCTTTGTTACTAAATATGTAGCTATTGGGATATGCACGAGAAATACTAACAACGTTCTGACATCAGGAACCATAGGGCGATATTTGCTTTGCTTATTTGCCATATTAGCCATTCACCAATTTTGTGAAACTAACTACCTTTGCAACAAACCTAAGGCAAAAGATTAGTGCCTTGTTATATACAGAAAATTTATTGTTATTTTGATTGCACTGAGTTTGGTTAATCAACGTTAAACATTAACTTCAGATTCGTCAAGGATAAGAGAAATCTAGCAAATAAATTGATTTGTTAAGATGTTAATGAATAGAGGAACAAAAAAATATGGAATCAAGAAGTTTGATAAAAAAAAAAGAGTTTGAAGAAGTATGCTAACACTTTTCCAATAAACTGTGCTTAAGTATTTTTTTCCACACACTTTCAACATGCCATAAAAAAATTAACATTGTTTACAAGAAAATAACGCTCCTCCAGTAGCACAGGGGCATGTCTGTGGATTTACATCACTTGAAACCGGATTTCGATACCCGTGGCGGGCAGAGCACAGTTAGCCCATCGTGTAGCTTTGTGATTAATTATAAAAAAACTAACACATTTGCCATTTTCGTACTATATTTTAAAGCCTTTTAATTAATTTCTTTTTTTAAAGAAATATATATGGGTTTATTTGTTGTACTTAAGCACAAAGGTATGTCCGCAGACATACCGCTGAGCCACTGGGGGGGGGGCGAATATAATATGTAAAATTTATTATTAACAAAACTTAAGTAGAGACACTTTTTTTTGGCCTTTTCTGCTTTGTCAGAATACTTTCTAATTAATTTCCCAGGCTTCGTGAATCCTTCAATATCTTTTAATCGAGGAGTGTTTCGTTTAATATTCATTGAGAACACACGAACAAACTTAATTTTCATTTCTGTAATACTTGAAACATTTTACAATTGTTTTACAATTTTACAATGGTTTGTTTGGAGTTACGCGAGGGCCATCTGCGCTCGCCGTCCCTAATTTAACAGTGAAAGACTAGAGGTAGGGCAGTTAGTCATCACCACCCACTGCCAACTTTTGGGATACTCTTTTACCAAAGAATAGGGGGATTAACCGTCACACTATAACGCCCCCACGGCTGAAAGTGCGAACATGTTTGATGGGACGGGGATTCAAACCCGTGACCCTCAGATTGCGAGTCGAGCGCCCTACAAGAAAAACCAGTTTTGATGGTTAATAATGATTGGAAAAGTCTTTATTGAATTACTGGAACAAATAATCAATTAAATTATTAAATAAAAACAATGTTATTAATTGAATGAGAAACACAGTGTTACTAAAGTATTATATAGTTTCGTTTGAATTTACTTATTGATTATAAGTACTGTTTTTAGAAATTACAGCTTTTACAGTAAGGAAGGATATTTCTTTAAAGCAGGTACAACGTTTCAATCACTGATGCGATAATTATCAAGTACACGTTAAAAACTGTTACTTGAAATGTCCTAACTGCTTAAAGAAATATTCTTCCTTTCCGTAAAAGCTGTAAGCTGTAAAAAAATAAAAAAATTATAAGTTTTTGTAAACACACCTTCACTAAAACATCATTCTTCTTTAAAGAATAGATATTTTGTCCATAAGGTGTTTTTTAAACAACTGACACAGTAGTCTTTAAAGTTGTGGTTATTTTATGAACATATGTTGAATTTGTCAAAGCATTTGTTACATCTAGAACTTTGCCCTATTTGCTAGAAATCATCATAAATATTACAAAACGTTGTCATAAAATTACGTTAATGCTGTGAAAATTGTTTACTTATTACAGACTCCAAACAACGAACATAGTTTTTTTTTTAGGTTCACGAGCCCCCCAGTAGCACAGCGGTATGTCTGCGGACTTACAACGCTAGAATCCGGGTTTCGATACCCGTGGTGGGCAGAGCACAGATAGCCCATTGTGTAGCTTTGTGCTTAATTTCAAATAAATAAATAAATAGGTTCACAAAGATTAGAAAAACTAAAAAAAAAACCTGGAACAATTATAGCAGTTCGGTAGAATTAGCTAGATTGTTACTTACGGTGAAATTGTTCTGAACTCAGTGGTTGATTCAAATAATCTTCGGTACTTTCTTTTTTTGAAGTTGTTATTGAGGTTTTTGGAGGATGGGTGAGCCTTACGGTGTGAAAGATGAACAATCTCTGTAATAATAATAATGCTACCCCGGTCTTATTTATATAAATCACAACGGTTTTTTTTATAAACTCTACCCACACACTGTAAGCCTAGTCGTCCACTGGCTATACGTCAGAAGTAGTACGTCACAAATTTTTAGCCAATAAGCAAACATGTAGGAGGGAAATTGCAAAGAGAAACAAGATGATGTTAAAGTGGACAAAATGCTGTAAAAGATCGGTATATCGTAGGACATCTAGCCTGATAAATTATAGTCGATTGATATTTCTTTGTACCATTTTCTACTTAATTAAATGTTCTATTATAATTTTGATGGATGATGTTATAATGGCTCATATGTACAATGAAATGTATCATTCAAGCTTCATGGTTAGTGTCTATAAGGTTGAGTAAAACCTGATTATTACACTTTAAGAAAGTGAAAGCTCGATTTTAATAAATTACACTATATCATTTACATGCTACAAAAACGTATCGAATCATTTTTATTTGTATTAGAGGAAATAATTAATTTACATTCGTTCAGTTGAAATTTAAAGCTTTAAAATACAAAATTTTGTACAAGCTACAACTGAACTCTTCCATAAAAAAATGATTATGTTCTTCTATAACAACACAAATCTGTAGATATATTTTGTGGACAACATAGTATTAATAAACTAATTTATTGTTTAGTTAAAACGTAAAAACTGGGTTTCGATACCTGTGGTGGGCACAGCATATATAGCCCATTGTTTAGCTGTGTGCTTAACAACGAACAAAGAAACAAATACTTAAAACTTCTTACTGTGGTCACGAATACACATGGGTGATAAGTTTACTGTTATCTTGATGTGTTTGTGGTATATAAGATGTTCCCTCCTTTAAAAAAAACCAATGGTTTCTTTATTTTCTTATAGTTTGATTGTTATTTCCTTGTTTATTGTAATACCCAAGAAATACAAATTACGATTAGTTTGTGGTAGATGGAAAAAAAAAATGTCGTGTTCTTTATTTATACTACTCATTCAAATTAAAGGCTACAAACTCTGTAGCCGAGGCAGTTTTTGGAGTTGATAAACACCTCGCATACATAATCGTAGGCAGGTCATATTGTGAAAATGCAGTTATCTACACTCTACAAATAACGTTTCATAGTACATAAAATAACATTAGTTTTCTTTTTATATATATAATAGCTATAATGTGTTAGAACGTTTCGTGGAAGTTACAATTCTTTCAAAATGGTAACTAAGAGAATATTATTACATTTTAAATGGTAACTAGGGGAATATTACTACATTTTCCAAGGAATAATAGTTTGGATTTTTGTTTGCTTTCACTTTTACCTTTACAGTACACGCTATGTTATATATATATAAATCAAAAACACCTTAGGTGTGAAGAAAAGGTGCGGCCAAAAAAGGATTGAATGTGCGACTTAAAACAATGAAATCAAAATTGGCGGCCAAACTGGTAATTATACTTATAGCGTTGATAAGAATTCTACAGCAAATATTTATTCATTAGTTAACCAGGCTGCGTTTTTTGTCCAACTTGAGGCATGATGGTGGGTAAAACAAAAGATGCGGCCTAGCTAACTAATGAATGAATATTTGCTGTAAAATTCTTATCGATGTTTCAGCTTTTACACCTAGTTTCAGAAGTAGTTGGCTTTACGTCTATCAGGTGGCAATTTTTCTGTAATGTACTTTATCATGTTGCAGCGATTTTAATACCCCGTATTCTTCCTCGTACTCATAGTTTAAAATGTCTTAAACATAGTACTTCATTATCCAGAGATTTTATTTCATTTACTTGGTTTCAGTCCTAAATGTACAAAACGAGACAACGTTGTTTTGTCAGAAGAACTGTACAACAAATTTTGTTAATGTTTTATCGAGGGTTTGTATTAAAAATAAAACATATTGCATGTTTCCAAGGTAAAGAACATTATTTTATTTATGATAATTACCACTTATATATACATATAATTTCCCCCCTAAATGTTTATATCGAGATAATCACGTTTTCATTTTATTTTTTAGGGTTTTCTTACTTCTTTAATCAAATCGTTTTTAAATTTGTATTAGAAAGTCTTTTCTTGAGTTTGTTTTATTAGGCTTAAGATCAGTAAAAAAAGATTGTGTTCTACAATGTTTATAGCCACATTTCCTCAGATTCTTCCAACACTGAATAAAATACATAAATTTTACACCTTAAGAGACTAAAAGAGAGAGAGAGAAGCCATTAAAAGAGTGTCCAAATAGTTCAAAGGTACTCTTCTTCCTATTATCTTCAAGAATCCACTTAGGTTAAGCTTAAGACGTTTTTAGGTGAGCTAATAATAAACCCAACAACCAGGATTGAATCCTAAACAAATATATATATTTTTCTTTACCGTTAGAATACCAAAATCTTAGAATATCATATAAAACAGTGTACTAAAGCGTGTCATGTGAAGATAATAGTTATTTACACTATTCATATGTGCAGTAAGTCTTTTTGACCAAGAATAATGCTATAAACCTAATCTGCTTTCAAAATATAAGGATTTAGTTTTGATACATTTTGTGTTAAACTGTAATATTTAGAGCTTTTATTTTGCATAGTTTGAATTCCCACATCCACAACAACAAAACAAAAAATACACGACTGTCAGGTTGCTTGTACATTTCGACGTATTTTAAGCTAAAGTAAATGTTTTACTAACAAATAAGTTTGACGAAATTATGATAATACTTACATTTCACGCCGTTGGGACATGATTCTTTAGAATTACGAAACGTTCTTCAGCCAAGTTTCTGGTCAACGGTCCTCACTTCTTTTTCCGTTGTCACGAGTACACTAGATAGCTACTGTGGATACAAGAGTCAAAAATTTGAGACTGGTGTTACCGAGAACTCAGCTCAGGTTCAGCTGTGGGTACATGACAAGAGCGACAATCAATATCGCTATTAAGTTAACCGTTTCAGACAGCGGATGTTGTCAACAGGTTATCTTCTCTCTGGTCTACAGGTTAAAATTACGGACTGATGTGCTTGAACCATCTGACCTGGCCATTTAGTTAGTGTGTAACATAAGGTATCGTTCATACGGTTTCTTTGTTTTCAAATATTTGATAAATGGTTAATCGAGTGTTATCTGCGCCAGCGGTCCTTAATTTTAAACTGATAGTTTGGTTTCTTTTGAATTTAGCGCAAAGCTACACGTGGGCTATCTGCGCTAGCCGTCCCTAATTTAGCAGTGTAAGACTAGAGGGAAGGCAGCTAGTCATCACCACCCACCGCCAACTCTTGGGCTACTCTTTTACCAACGAATAGTGGGATTGACCGTCACATTATAACGCCCCCACGGCTGAAAGGGCGAGCATGTTTGGTGGGACGGGGATTCGAACCCGCGACCCGTAGATTGCAAGTTGAGCGTCCTAACCACCTGGCCATGCCGGGCCTTGAACTTATAGACTATAGGGAAGGATCTCAACAACACCAACCGCTAACTCTTTGGTTACTCTTGTCTCACCGAATAGCGGAATTTGACCACCTCCTTTATAATGTAATTACTGTTTCAAAGTGCTAAATGTGATATTTAAACTTACAAATCTATAGTGAGGCACGTTAACCACTGGGTCACACTCGGCGCAATAACACATTGACATAAATCTAATTTAAAATATAAAATTAGATTAGAAAACAAATATACCTACTCCAATAAAAGAAAGTATACGCTACTTTTCTTAACAACTGATTCCGATTCTCTAGTTTCGTCTAGTTTCAGAAGTTCGCTGTGGGTGTTGTTGACCAGCTGCTTTCCTTCTAGCCAATCACTTCAGGAATTCGCGGAAGGTGCAGTTGATCAGCTGCTTTACCTCTAGCCTATCAGTTCAGGAGTTCGCGGTGGATGATGTTGACCAGCTGCTTTCCTTCTCGCCTATTAGAGGTGGCTAGCAAACATAGTCATTGTGCAGCTTTGCGCGAATATTCGAAAACGAACAAACTTAATTATTCAGAAGGTACCTTTTACTTATTTTTTGACAACAGATCTTTATTAAACCCCTCAGTTTCTACCATGTGTTCATATTTTCTGACGACGCATCTTCATTTACCTCGCACTTTTTACTCTATCTCGCAATCTATGACAACGAATGTTAATTAATCTCCTACTTTTAACTCGCTGTCGTATTCTCTGACAACGATTATTCATTAAACTCTTACTTTTAACCATGGTTTTATATTTTCTGACGAGAGATCTTCATTAA